ATAATTTGAAGCCCTTTGAGCAAATTTCGTATTTTACGATTAGAACTACTGAAATTTTATGTGTTCCTGTTGCTCCTCCATAACTAAAACTTGTGGTTTTATTTGGCATAATGTTGAATTTAATCCTTAATGATTACACCTTTTATTAGTTTGGGTATTATTCTTTTTTAGCAAAAATTCACCACAATTTTGATATAACCATTTGAGTGACAATCTATGCATACGATTCTAGTAGTTCAATTTTGCTCATCTATTTTAAAAAAAAAAATCTAAATTACATTTTTGTTTCATTTTGATCATCCACCGTCAAATTAAAAATAGATTTAATGAGGTGACATTTTTTTAATTTTTTTTGAATAATGATGTGGTATACTATTACCTTATGGTGATACATCACCATCATTGTTAATTTTTAACGTCAGGTGATCAAAACGGAACAAAACGTAAGTTTAGGTATGATTTTGAAAAGAAAATAGTGGGTGAGCAAAACGGAACCACGAGAATAGTTAGATGACTAAATACATAGTTTACCTTTTTCTAAAAATTAAGAGATAAATTCATTTTTAATAGTTGGAGCAAATTTAATTAATAAATAATAAAATTAAATTAAAAACTAAATTTATTATTATTATTATTATATATAATTTATTGGTTTTTTTATAACCACTTGTATATGATTTATTAATTGAATAATATGAATTCAGTATTATAAATATAAGGATGACCCTCCTAATCTAGTTTACCTCGTTCGTAAACATAGAATCCAAATTAAAATATAAAAATTTAGTTGTCAAAATATTTGTAGAGAATATGTTGGTATCATGTAATGACTCTAACTACACTCCAATGGCAGCATTAATGTATCTTTATTATGTACTCATGCCTTCATAAATAAGCATTGAGTTTGCATACTTAAAACTAACTCTTTTTTTCCCTTTAATAATTGAGCTAGCCATTTCATCTATTTTTTATTTTCTATATTATGTAAAGTAAATGAAACGTAAAATGAGGCTTTTTTTAGGGAAATTGATAAAAAAAAATATTAATGATTTAAGAATGTTGAATAATTAATTGATAAAATAGGCTACAATGAATAGTAAACGATAAATTCATCTTAAAGTGTTTTCGATTTTATTAAAAATTTCACACGGATTAATTTAGATTAATCAGGATGAAGTCCTGAAATCGGAACAACAATTAAAAATAAAAAATCTCATGTGGTGATTCGAATTTGAGAGATTAACTTTAGATGTTGATATTAGTTATCGGTTGTTGATTACTTTAAGCCCAGACTTTAATTTTTGCACTGTTAAGAACAACTTCTACTATGAATAAATCAAAAAATTTAAGGGTTTAAATATAATGATTTTTTTAATTATTGAGTGATTGTAATAAATCAAAAATACACAAATATTGTTGTTATTATTTACCTCATTTTTTAAAAATAGTCCGGGTGATTATAACAATGCACACATACCCTTTAGACACAGTCAAAAACAGATGTAGAATTTTATGTCAATGGTAAACTTATAAAATTTTAGAAGGAACGTACTTTTATAATTTCAGAGGGGTGAAAACAGTTTATGAATAGAAAATAAATAAAAAAAAATATAAAATATATGATAATTTGAAAATTTTAGGGGACGACTGTACCACTCGTTCCTATAAATTGGTATTATTCTTTATGAATTAAATTTTGGATTATTTATGATTCTCTACTATAATTAAATTGGGAATTCTGCTTAGTTTTAAATAGAAGAATTCAAAATATAAGTCAAGCAAGACCGTGAAATAATACCAAAGAATTTATGTTGAATTCAAGTTGTGCGTAGACAAGGATGGAGAGGAAAGCTGCAACGTCCTGCCGTGACAACAGCTTTCAAACTAATATATCAAATCTCGATCACATCTAAATCGCGCATAGATTTACATAAGACCTCAAAATATATTTCAAGATCGCATTACTAAGGTCGTAATAATAATATACACGTCCATTATAACATTATCATCGAGGCTGCATAAGTAGGGATGGACATGAGTCATGTTGGGTCGGGTTTTTGGTTCACAAGACTCGATCCGAGAACAAAAAAATTTTCACCCGAGATTCGACTCGACCTGACCAAAACAAGATTCCACCTGACCCGAACTCGACCCGATATATAACTTAAAAACCCAACCTGACCCGAAATAATAAAAATATTATTTTTATTTAATAAAAACAATAACTTAATTAAAATATATATATAGAGAGAGGGGTATTATTGTATTTTTTTCTAAATATATAAGGCAAAATTATATATTTTTTCTAGTTGGATTGAGTCGAGTATTTTCACCCTAAACCCAACTATGACCCGACTCGAACATCACATTAAAAAAAACTCCAACCCGGGTCGAAGCCCGTTGAGTTCTAGTCCCATGCCCATCTCTATGCATAAGTATAATAACAAGTGTCCGTATTGTTTTTACGATCGTCAGTAAGACCACATCATCGTATAGTAGTTGAATACCACTATTAGGGGTGTGCAAATTCGGGTACCCGGATTTTCTGATACCCGATTTTCGAGTACCCGGAACTTTCGGGTCGACAATTTCTCAGCCCATGTCCCGACTCGGATATTACGGGTACCCAGTAATCGGGTACCCGATACTCGGTTTTTTTATTTTTCATTTTCAAATTATTAATTTAAAAAATATGTACACAAATTTAAATGTTCGAAACTTCGAATTACATACTCTAATATCCGAACATAAAATTTAAAAGTTCGAAATACAAAATTTAATAATCCATAATATAAATAATTCATTATATTTTATATAATTATATATAAAAAATAAAAAAAAAATAAAAACTAACCGGGTACTCGGGTAACCGGGTACCCGGAAAAACTATATTTTGTGACCCGGACCCGACCCGGGAAATGTCGGGCCGGGTACCCAACCCGGCTGGGTATTTTTTTTTTTAAATTACCCGATTTTTTTAGGGTCGGGTCGGCGGTTCGGTCAACCAAATCGGGTAATTTTGCACACCCCTAACCACTATGACTATAGGATAAGCTAACCCACGGTTACCGCTTAATTTGATTTAAGCAATAATAAATCTTAATATTGTAGTGAGTATGGGATCTTTATTAGTATTTAGTCTGTGAATCTTTATTTTATTTTAAAGTTATTTTGTAAACAATTGAATCGGAAGAAACTCGGTTTCACTATATATGAAATTTAATGAATTTATATTATTATGAATGATTTATATTAAAAGAGTTTTATAATAGATATCGCTTCGATGATTCAATAGTATCTGGTTTCTTATATATTTTTTATTTTTTATTTTTTATTCCTAATTCTCAAATTATTTCACCATAATATTTTAAATTCCTACTTTTTTAAAATATTTTACCATATCATTCTAAATTATTAATTTTTTAAATTATTTCACCATAACAATCTAAATTATTTCTTTTAACTTCAAAATATTTTAAATTTAATTGTGTTTTTAATTATATTTTTTAATAAGTTTTATCTTTTAATTATATAATTTAAATTTTTAAATTTTATGGGCATATTAGTATTATAGACCTTCAAATTTAGAAGTTTAGAATTTTTTCTATGTAATTGCTTTTTAAAGAATAATATAATTTAAAAAATAATATATATATATATATATATATATATATATATATATATATATATATATATATATATATATATATATATATAAATCGGGTAATCATGACCCAAAAATGAGGATACATGAGTTTTATGGCTACCAAGACTTAACGGGCATGGACATGGGCAAACATTTTGATACTCGAAAATTTCGTGTACCTGAAAATACATGTACTTGGTTTTGAACACCCCTACTATATATACACTGACGAATGTATGTACATTATATGTCCACTATGAAATTCGAATTTCTTTATGTTTATTGTTTATTTTACTGATAGTGTCCATCCTAAAATTTTATTGGTATTTGTCTCATACAAAAAATCTATTATTAATACATATGTGCCCACCCTAATTTTTTTTTGAATTCATCACTGAGTATATATAATCAGTGGCAGATCCAGAAATTTAAGAATATGTCCAAAATTGTAATTTTCTTTTTTAAAAAATAATAGGTATGCAAAAATTGTATTTTTTTTCTTTTTTCCTTAACACATTAAGCTAAATTTAATCATTTTTCCAAAATAATGGGATGCACTTGACCTCTATGGGGGCTTAGTGCATCCGTCATTATATACAATACATCACCTAAAGTTTAATGGTATCGGATGTAATTTACCCACATATTTATAATCGATGTACTTATCTTTCATTTAAACCATTTATATTTGGGCAGTTGACCATTTCTCATGTTGTATGTTTTGAGTTGGTGGAACTTGTAAATTGTAATATTATGTTGACATAAATGTGAATAGTTGCTCAAAGGAAATGGAAAATAAGGAACAAAAACAAGATGACAAGGCAGACAACAAAAATCAAACATGCAAGACACGGGACTTGCCTTTATTATCATGCTTTTATTCTTTTAAAATACGAAAGAAAGAGTTCTTATATATTTATGTGGAACAGAACCTTGGTTTAAGCTGAAATGAGGTTAGGGCTATAAATGAGTCAAAACATATCGTAAATTAGTTGAGATCTTACTCGGTCAAAGCTCGATAAATACTCGATTCGAGTTCTTAACGAGCTACTTGATACTTGACTCGAAAAGTTTGCGAACAATTCAAAAAAATAATATATTAAACTTTTATTTTTTAAAAAAAAGATTAAATTATTAATAATATTAACATTTAAGTTATATATTGTTGGGATTTCTTTATTTTAACCTATACCTAAAACTCACATGCAGGGTTAGACTGATTCTCCAAGCTCTCCATTGCCGCCCTTTACAAGCAGCCAAAACCGGCCAAAGGATCCAATAAAAGCTTGGTGATGAAGTTATTGTTTTGATCAATTTCAGTGAAAAGATTGAAATTTCCTTTCATTTCTCTTCAATGTCCTCATCTCCCTTCACTTTCTTTGCGTTAGTAACAGTCTTAACCTCATATTGCTTAAACCTCTCAAACGGAACCCATGTGAATGCCTCTTGTCCACTCAACTTTGACATCCTCAAGAAACTGGCGAATAAAGACCCTGCAAGGTCCATACTGTGTCAAAACATCATGGAAGGAATCGATTTAGTCCGGTCCGAGTATCTCCGGACAACTGAGTACTTCGTTCCCCCTCCCGAAACTTCCGAGGCATGCAGGGAATCCTACCGGCTTCTACTAGGTGAGTTCGTAACTGATTTCGACATCGAAACTTCTTGTGGATATAATGTGGAGTGGATTTCCAAAGCCTGCAGGAATATAACATCTAGAGCACAGTTTGAGAGCCTAATTCCTAGTGCCATATTGTACCAATTAAGATATTACTGTACTCAGTCTCTGGATAATAATTTTACATGTGGATTGTGTACTAGAACGTTGCTCGTAGTTAGGGAAGTTTTCCTCGATGGCATCGATGATGACGCAGCACGGAATATCTCCTCTTGTTCGGGGTATCCTAAAATGTATACCGCTGCGTTTGTTAACCATTTTGGTCCAACTGATAGAGCAACTGCTAAGTGTTTGTTTTCCATAGCACTTGAACAAGAGAAACCAAGCCGTAGCCACTACCGAAGTGTAATTGCAGGGGCGACGGCTGGTTCTGTTGTTGGTATACTTGGGGCCTTTTCTGCAGTTTCGTTCCTTCTGATGAGAAGATGTAGAAAAAAAGTAGAAGAGAAGAATGATTTGGATACAGATGAGACTAGTTTGGTTTTCGGATTCGGATTGTGTAGTAGAAGTACTAGTCTTAAAAAGTTCAAACTTAAGGAGATAAAGAATGCTACAAAGAATTTCTCCAGAGAGAACATTATCGGAATGGGAAGTTATGGGAATGTTTACAAAGGGATACTACCGGACGGATCCGAAGTCGCGATAAAAAGGTTGAAGAATTGTTCAGTCGTCGGAGATGCAAACTTTGTACATGAAGTAGAAGTCATTGCAAGTGTAAGACATGTCAATCTTGTTGCATTGAGAGGCTTCTGCACTGCAACGGTGCCACTGGAAGGGCATCAAAGGCTCATCGTTTGCGATCTGATGCGTAACGGAAGCCTTTACGATCATCTTTTCGGATCGGGGAATAAGAAACTTAGCTGGCCTATTCGTCTGAAGATTGCCCTCGGTACTGCTAGAGGTTTAGCTTATTTGCACCATGGGGTTCACCCTGCCATCATTCACAGAGATATCAAAGCTAGTAATATACTTCTGGATGAGATATTCGAGCCGAAAGTTGCCGATTTCGGCTTGGCAAAGATCAAGTCCGAGGGAATGACGCATTTAAGCACGACGGTAGCTGGAACTCTAGGCTATGTTGCTCCGGAATACGCCTTGTACGGCAAGTTAACCGAGAAAAGCGACATTTACAGCTTCGGGGTCGTGCTTCTCGAGCTTTTGAGCGGTAAAAAGGCATATGAAAACGATGAGGGAAAGATTTTCCGGCTGACGGATTGGGCTTGGGAGCTTGTGGAACAAGGGAGGGCATTAGATGTCATCGAACAAGACATGCCGGAGATAGGATTGCCGGAAGTGATGGAACAATATGTTCTAATTGCCGTTCTTTGCTCTCATTCTATATTAGATATTCGGCCAACAATGGATCAGATTGTGAAGATTTTGGAAACTGGTTTTCAACCCGGTTTCAGTTTCAAGAATTAAAATAATTTTCTATTTTGCCCAAACTTTTTCTGATTAAACACAATGTATTGGATTCAACTGTGTGTAAGCAGTTGGAGGTATTCTTTAGCACCTTACGAGCTATATCATCTGGTGCATATGCTTTTGGAAATGCCTAAACTATACCTTTTTAATTGGTAGTCATGTTCATAATCGGTTCTCTAATTAATTGGCGCACCACATCCCTTATAGGTCACTTCTTTTTATATCGGCTTAACGTAAAAAAATTGTTTAAATTATCTCTCTTTTTTTTGTTCCGATGTTTAAACTTTTTTTTCGATCAATTTAAATACTTAACGTTATTATTTTAAGTGTCTCGGCCGTAACGACCGTTAAAAATCCGTTAAATAACACGTGTCACGCTTATATATGTATGTATGTATATTTTTTTAAAAATTCAATTAAAAGAAAACTAATTCCCCACCCCGCCCCCTTCTCTCCCCCTCGCGTCAATCAATTGGCCAGCTTCATCTTGGAAAAAGTTTCAAGGAATTGCTTTCATCGCAAGCATGGCTTCTTTTGCCTGTGATCAAACGACCGACTGAAAGGATTTAAGGAATTTTTAAGGTTTTGAATATTTGAAATTGTAGGGATTTAAGTTTAGAAATTTAGGGGATAGGGACAATAATGAGAGGAATGATCGGCAATGGGAGCTCGTCGACGAGTGCGTAGACGGCCGGGGATGGCCGACAAGTAGGGTTGATGCTTTAGGATTAAATATTTTAAGATTTTAGAGAAATTTTAGGTTTTTATTTTGTAATTTTAGAGAAATTAAGTTTTTTTAAATGTAATAATATTTTTATTTTTTAAAAAATAAAATTTTTAAACTTAAAACTGTAACATTCGTAACGTTAAACACCTGGATTTAAACACTTAAAAATGTAACATTTGTAACGTTAGACAAAAAAAAATTGTACTCCTAAATGAAAAAGAAGTTTGGACATTGTTTTTATATGAAGCCTTTTATATAATTTAAACTTTTAGTACTCGTTGTTTATCTTATCGGAAGGCTCTTTGTATGGCTGAGATTTGAATTCCGAGCTTTCTAAAAACTCTGCAATTAGTGTCGTTTTCAGGAGCCAAACCATGTGTGCAACAACTGATCACAAGTGTTCTCTTCATCCCAGAGTCTCCGAGATGGCTGGCCATTGAGCTTTTTAAAAGAGTATTTCATGAAAATTCATTAGTGTGTTCAATTGGTAATGGTAGCCATCTCCATCGAACCTAGGACCTCTAGTGATAACAAGATTCTCCTTTATCACTGTGTCCACTTAATGAATTCTGCAATGAACGTATCGGGTCATAGTTCTTGTACCACTACTTGTTCTGCAGTTGATGGTTTCTTGGGGCTCGTCATTCATGCATGCTTACATGGAAGGTAAGCACGAGCGAGGGTTCTAGCCAAACCCTGATATCATGCAAAGATGTAGCAGAAGCATTCGAATCTCCGTCATTACAACTAAAATGTACCTTCATTTGCCCCACTTTAGATGAATGTGTAATGTGGTGTACGGTTATATCTCTATGTCACAAGAGGCTTATCAAGAAAATTGGATAGAAATGGGTGATGAAGCTGCAAAATAAAAGTACATAAAGAGTGTCGAGATTTCTATTTCGAGATGCTTTATAGTGGCTAGGTTGGTAATGCTCTTAAAAGATGTAGTGGAAAAAATGATTTTTGAAAGTAATTCTACAAAAGTGATTTTGTATTATTTTGTTTATTTTTTTTTTTTGAGATTTGTTTAAAAAAATAAGTGATTTTGTATTAATACAAAAATATGAGGACGACACGTGTTAAACAATATCCAAATTTAACGGCTGTTACGATCCAAACACCTAAAAATGTAAGTTAGAAACGTTAGGCACATATTTTTAGTGAAAATTTATTTAGACATTAAAACATTTTTCGATGCATAATTTAGACACTTATTTTTGTATTAAACCTTATTAAAAAGTATTTTTAAGGATATAAAATGTCTATTTTAGATAATATTTTTGAAAATATAAAAGAAATTGATGAAATAAATGAAAACCAATGAATAATTTTACTCGAATTTTCTTTTGGAAAAACTAAAAGTTATTTTTTTTTTGCTTTTCAAAATCACTTTTCAAACGTGGAAGAAAATGTCTAATTTATCTAATATTTAAATTTACAATGACTTTTATTATACAAAAAAAAAAGAACATGAGCTTATCCTTCTTTAGTTCGGTCTCACTTAATTAAATATTTAATAAATTGTGTATTTTTTAATTGAATACTTATTTTTACATGAACTAAAATATTAACAGATCAAAATCTATCGAATATATAAAATTTTCATAGGGACCGACTCTTCACTGCACGTGCAAACATTCGATCACCGCCCTCACATATGCTTACATCAATATAAGTGTAAGTTAGGGTAAAAGCCGAATCCCGACGTCGTGCAACGATGCAGGAGAAACATCCGAATCCGGATGATTATAACTAAGACTGTGCCTTTTTTTTTTTTGCACTGCGTTTCACTATGTCCTGATATCTCAAGAGACAATGAGCAGGAATTTCATTGGTGAGATCAAGGTAGTCCTATTTGTTTAGAAATGTTTAAGATAATATATGTTCAAAATCTTTCTTAATCATTGACAACGTATACACAGTTTGCAGACGCAGTTGCTTGAACATAGGACCTATTGGGAGACCAAAACTCCCCTTAAGCACTTATGCCACTTGATGGGTTACAAATTTAAATATGTGACACTTTGTGTTTGGTGCAATGAAATGGCACATTGTTTCAATTCTTGTGACATATCATTTCATCCTGCTGTATAAGGAGGATTTGGAGTAGTAGCCACAATACTTTTGTTTATATTTTTGCTCTCATGTTGCTTCCTTCTCTTAGTGAAATTTTCTCTGATTTTCACTTGAATTTGTTTAAATTATGATGAAGAAGAGTGTTACAAAAGTTGTGAAGAAAAGAGAAGAGAAAATTGAATGAAAGTCGTTAACAAGGGGTGTGATTAATGTATATGTATATTAACAAGGGGTGTGATTAGTATATATGTATAGTTTGGGATAAAATTAAAATGTTCAAAAAGTTTGGGGACCAATTTAGAATTAAAGTCATAGTTTAGGGATAAAATTAAAATGTTTAAAATTTTGAGGACTAATTTAGAATGATAGTCATAGTTTAGGATGTAATTGAAATATTTAAAAATTTAGGGATTAATTTAAAATGAAAGTCATACTATGAGAACATATGATGTAATTAAATCAAATATTAAAAAAAATACTATTACTACCCAAAGAAACGCCAATATTCTTCGTACCTATAAAGATCACTACTTGATATTTGTTGAGAAGTTTTCGAAGTATGTTTGTTAAATAATTAGTTGCGAGTTATTTAATAAATTCAGTATTATATTATATATATTCGGTACGATTTTACTTTTAATATTTTTTTTTATTTTTTAATAGTTTAATATTTTATTTTTAACTCTCAAGACAACCTAATAAAAATTAGAGTAAATTACGCGTTTAGTACTTAAATTATCAGTTTTAGTACATAAACTTTTATTTTTTTTTAAAATCATACCTAACGTTTAGTTGTTTCATTTTAATATATCGTCATTAAAAAGTTAATACAACAACAACAAAACCCAATTCCCATATGTATGGGGTAAGGGGGAGGTAGGGTAGTAGGCTACCCCCAACGCCAAGTTGAGAGTAACTTCCGTGGAAGACCTCCGGCAGTCAGAAAATTAAAAATTTAGATAAAAAAGTTAATGACGGGATGACATGGCATAGCTCCGGTGGATGGATGACCAAATCGAACGGTGGACCACGAGAGAATGACGAGTCGACTAACATAGTCTAATTTCAAGCCCATTGGAAATTGGACAATGGAGTTCGGAGGATGATGAAATTGAAGAGTCCACCGTCAATTTGGAGAGATTGAGGTGTTTCCTAGTGAAACGAAGGCCATAATCGCGTTCAAGGAGTAAAAAAAAGTGCATACTAGAAAGTTTGAGCTTCATCGGCCAACAGATGGGACGATCAGTGAGCTTGTCCCTTAAGTTTTTAACGGTATGGTACTAAAATGAAACAAAAATTAAATGTTAGTTATGATTTTGGAAAAAAAAGTTTAGATACTAAAATAGTCCAAAACTGATAGTTTAGGTACTACATATTTATTTTACCCTAAAATTTATAATATCTTGCAAAAAAAACACTTGTAAAAAAATTAAGGGTAAATTGGTCATCCACATATCATTTAGTTTTTGTTTTGACCATACAACTATTATTTTAAAAAAAATCATACTTAATGTTTGTTTTAGTTTTGTTTTAATTACTCGTCGTTAAAAAATCAATAGTTATGCTGACATATCATTAAGAGACAGTGTCACATCATCATTGATAAATAAAAACATCACATCAACATTAATTTTTTAATGGCAGGTAATCAACAATGACAAATTCAAAAATATTTTTTAGTGTGAACACACATCTATATTAACAACATAAAATTTTTATACAATGAGCATAAATAAAATTTCAAGATGAGCAAATCAATAAAAATAGATAATTACCCAAAAAAAAAATAGATTTTATGATGGACAATTGCCTAATCTTACGCCTTAGTGAAGTTGTCACTAATGGTTGAAATAGAACAAGACATTAGGTATAATTTAAAAAAAAAAATTGAGTAACTATAAAACTAGGTAATAGCCGGACACACAAAATAAATGGTTTAACGAAAATAAAATATTGACTTATTGTGAGATTAGAATCAATGGATAGTTTTGTTGTGGGACAAGTTAATTTCAGGTTGAAAAAGACGATTTGGGCACAATAAAAAATATGATAAAAATTATAACATTTTAGTTTATATGTAACTTAAAATATTAGTTTTTATGAATATTTTTAATTGAACCTAAAATATTATAGAGAAAGTAATATTTTCGGTTATCAATCTAAAATATTATGACAGTATAATAATTTCGTT